GAGCAGGAGGACCCTTCACGTGTCACCGGCGTCTCATGCTCATGTAAGATGTTTATTGTCTGGGGCTCCCCATCAGGAGCTCTGGCTCTCATGTTCCGACACCCACACGGCTCTGCTCCTTGATTGGTTAATGAGAGGCCACCTCTCCACTCTGAGCGGAGGAAGTGATCGGCTCAACACCTACGCCGCCGTCTATTCGGAGTCAGCCCTCGTCATGCTAACCGACATGACGCCGCCCGCGGGGGGGGGGTAACAAACGTCAGAGACTGAGTGGAGCAGCCTACACCCAACGCCCTCATCTGTGATGATAGGGATGATGATACAGATCTCATCGTTATCACTTGGGGGAGAAGTAAACAGTCACTGGGTTGGAAATGAGAGGAGGCAATGTTGGCTGCATTTGGTATGCAAATATGATTCAATTACAGCAACAGATTAGGCTGGTTAGTTATGGAGATGTCACCGTGGAAGCAAAGGGCGGACTAGACCACAAACAACATGGAGATGGTTCACGCCAACTGCGTAGTGAGCAAACCTCTGCCCTTGTGAAATGTCCCCGTTCTCTACAGAACATAAAATTGTTTTTTGTATGTACTATCAATGGCTTCTGATTCATTTGTCTACACCCTCACATCATCTAAGACACAGTGAAGTTATCTTCTACTCCCGTGTCCTTGTGTTCATTTCTCCATTGTCTGTTGGTTTATACCAAGAAAATACAAAAAAGAAAACACATGAAAATCTTTTCATCAATTAAAAGTTTTTAATTTTCATATCAAAAGTCCTCTCTTTCCCTGTAAAACATTTTTAAAAATTCAGATTATTCATCTAAAACTACAGACTCAAGAGTGATTGTGACTCTTACGATTTTGTTTACGTTACCAAACACAGCGTAGTTGTGCTCTGATTGGCTTATTTCATTGTCTTCCTGCCGGAGGCCTTCAGTCGTCTGCAGCTCTGTGTTCGCTGAGCCAAACCCAATCACACCAACATGTTCTGTTTCACTCAGAAAGACGTCATTTTACAAAAGATAATGATTTACCGTACATTTGACTGATTTAAAGTTGCTGTAATCAATATTTTATATGAACAATATGACAATGTGACAATGTGAAAGGGGTCACTCTTAGGGATGAAGCTACAGAGAAATATCAGCTGAATCTGCAGATCTCTTTGGCTTTACAGAGCTGTGCAGCCATTTTCAGCTCATTGTTTCGCTGCCCGGCTGCAACTTTACTGTTTTGGTTCACTCTCTCAGCTGTTTGAAGAGAAACATCTCTAAAAATCCACTGTACACCACCTGCTCAGCACCAAACAGCTGACAGGGAACTAGTTGGGTAATGTAGTGGAGCATTTAGCAGCTAAAGACACAACTATTCCCCTCAGCAGTTGGTAGAGACCAAAAACAGAGCTAAAAGAGTGAATATTGGAATTAAATTCATCAAGTGGCCAGAAACTCCACACGAATGACAATGTTGCTGCCGGATGTGAAAAAAAGCAACTGTTCCATATCAATTTATGTCAATACTTTGACCCCGATTGGCCAAAGAAAAGCAGTTATTGCTGAAGTCTCTCTGATCTTCAGCATTTACGTCAATCTGTGATCTTACTACTTAGCTGTAACTTGGCCTCAGTTCTCAACCTTTTTTGTTGTTGTCATCTCCTCGACATAATACCCACCACTGTTTTCACGCTGCTCTCTTTCATCTGCTCCGAGTAGTCACACTGTTTGCGTTATCTTTGCCAAAACTCTACAGCACGAAGCCAGGATGTGTAAAAGGCCTCTCTGACTTCATCATCTCATCGCACTCTCACACTTCCACCCATGCGATTGCAAATCCTCCCGTGTTTATTTAGTCTTGTACGTATGCGTCTCGACTTCCTCTTCCTCGTTACATCCTCTTCCTCTTCTTCTTCTACTTCCAACCGCCTCTCCCTCCTCCTCTCGCCTTCCTTGTGTCCAGACGTGGTGCTCTCCTCCCAGCAATGGCTTCTCAACTCTCCAGATGGCACAGTCCTTTCCACAGACGCTCAAATTCAAAAGGCTAGGGAGGAGGGGAAGTCAAGGGGGGGGGGGCATCCACCATGAGGACAAGGGATCTGACGCTGAAACTCACTCTCACATCACTTTGTCTGTGACATTTGGGGCAGGAATAGTTTTCCTGTGGGAATTAATAATTAATAAGTCAGACCTGAAATTTAATTACATAATTTTACTTTCATATTTTTGTCATATTTTGATATGATTCAGCCTTTCTTTCGTGTGTCACACTTTCTCAAGTCAAAAAACTGAATTAAAATAACTTGCAATTTTGTACACGTGGAGCTGCGAGTGTTGAGCGCCGATCCATCTGTCGGCTGTGCGTAAAAGCAACGTAACAGCCAATAATTTATCTCTGCATCATTTGATCTCAGTGAATACACTCGTCAAATCACTCTGGGGGATTCCTAACAAGAAGGGGGGTTTGTGGTCAGGTGAGTAACTCCCATATTTGCCATTTGGTAAATCAAGAATTTTATTTAGTTGGTGCAAATGATGTTTTCCTTACATTATTCACCCGTTTCTGTTTGAGTCTATTCTGCAATAGCAGCCTCTCTATGTCAAAGATTTCAATTTAATTTTAAAATGTTTATGCCATTGTTGCTAAAGTTTGAAGTAGTGGTTAATGAGGCTTATACATGGTTTTAAATCTTATAATATTAAAAATAAAATATAAAAGCATGATGAACAGACTTATCGCACTAGAAATTTGAAGTCCAGATTTGACATTTTGCTACAAGTGACTACATTCATGAGTCATGAATAAAAAAACACAGCCAACACACAATGAAAGTGAGTGGGAATAAAGATGCACAGCGTGAGGGAGAAGAGGGAGGGCTGGTGACGTCCAGGTGGAGTGTATCATTGCATTGGGTGTGTAGGATATATCTCAGCATGCCCATATGACCGGATGCATCGCTGTCACAGATTCTCCACAGTGGACCACGTCACAGCCAATGCAAGCAAGCGCACCTCTACGATCTATATTAAATACACTAATCAATGTACTGGACAGTGAAATATAATAAAGGGTTCTTTATTATATTGTGGTGAGTCACATCTTAGTCCCCTTTGGTGACTGGAAAGAAAGTAGGTTAATGGCAGTAAATGTGAGGCTGCTGAACATTATGATGTTGGTTATTAAGTGTTCCATTCATTGTATTGTAATTCTGTGACATACACCACGGTGAACCACACATCCCCTTTGTTGCCTTTAACAATAACAAGGTATACCAGGCACCAACCTGGGAGCAGCAAGGGCTCTGTCCTCCACCCACACAGAGATCCTGAAGCAGTGCTTTGGATGGCACTCTGTTTGTGTGTGGTGGGGGTGTGTGATCACTGGAGAATAAACAGGAAAGCTGGTATCTGGCTTTTCAATGCAGGGCAGGAAGCTCTAGACAGCCCTTAATCTGCCCACGCCTAAGTGTAAGAAACAACAAACCGATACCAGCCATGCAGGGAAACAGATGCATGGAAGATCACAGGAGCCAGAGCTTTCCCACCTTTCTAATAACTCCTTAGAAGCCAAATGTTCTGCTGGTGAGCTGCACCTCAAACATGCAACACTGTCACCTTTAGCAGCATGAATGTATGAAGCATTTGTCTGGACATTCCTGCCTCAGAGAAGCAGTTCTTAAAAGGTTCGGCTCTTGAGCTTCATGCATGGATAACTAGAGCTAAGTTTGCATTCACAGAATGAAACATATGCCATGATTTTTTAGAGTCTCATATTTATACATATTTGAGATAGAAATCTGTCTTGCAGTCACATATATTGGCATCCCTAACCAACAATTACAAAAGACACTATGCATCCACCCCATGAGGAAAAGAGAAATCCGTACATCAAGGCCTCCAGGGATTAGCCCACTACATGGCTCTCAAAAAGCAACGCATTCCTTATGCACACAAAAACAACATCCAACATCCTGCCTACATCCAAGAACATGCATCTGTCAGCCTACTCCCACGATGCATTAATGGTCAAACACACAGATATGCACAACATAGCAGTCCTATTCCCATGGAAAAGACGCACGTGTCCATTGTGACATAGGGGAGACACTGAGAGTTAATTAAAGCCACAGATCCTCTCACTGCAGCATCACTTTGTAACGTGACCCTGCAGAATGACACCAGTTGGCAACGAGAACAACACACATGCCAGTAAGTTTGGTTGTGAGTTTATCATCACGGTAGTGCAGTCAGCAGCAGGATTGATCATTTTGCTTCTACTCAGTATTTAGTAAGATTACCACCTTCTAGAGGCACAGCAGCTCTACAGACTGGGCCCTCCCAACACTGATGATCGGGCCTTCTTCAATGTCTGGTAGTTTAAACTTTAAGCCCAATAGCAGTAATCTTTGTAACATGCAAAGCTTGTGGGGTTGCTGGGCCATGCGTCAATTAATGTTCTTGCACAAATGCAAAAGGGGGAGAACAATCAGAATGGTACATGTCTACTTTAATTCGAGATATACATCATATCCATTAACTTCATTTTCTCTATCCAATATTTCACATTTGATTTTACATTAATAGAACTCTTCCTAATGTTTTCCCTTTTTGTCTCCCTCACTCCTCACACTTTCCTTTGCCTTTCTCCCCTTTTGGCTGCCACAGTATCACATGTCTGGTGGGAAATGTTACACCAGCTAAAGATGGTGGCATCAGGGTGTTGATTTCAGGGCATGCGTGGCACCCTGACTCCATGTAAAAGCATTAAGCGAAAGTCTAGCCTTTTGAGTGCAAGGTCAATTCAAAGAAAGGTGTTCAGTGTTCTCCGAAATGAGCAAAGTTAGAAAAGATTTCAGCGTAACGAAGATGACTTTCAAGACAGTGGGTTGGATTGTCCAGCTGCCACACCTGATAACGATTTGACCGCTAATTGCTCTCTGAGCAGCTGCTGCTAATGGACTTCGTTTAGTAGGAACAGTATAAAAAAGAGACACACAGAGGGATTTTTAGCAAGGCCAGGACTTACTCTCAAGGCTAGTTAGTCCCAGTGAGCATCTCGGCTCAAACCACAGTGTCTGAGGAGGACAGGGTGCTGCTTTTCGGCTAATAGCCATGGCTCTTGGGCTGCTTCTGCGGTAAATTTAATTGACGTTGAGCATTTCTTTGCACTTTATGTTTCAATTACCTTTCGCAGAGATTTTAATCGAATGTTTGTTGTTTACTGGCCTCCTGCAGGGTTTCCTGGATGTATTTGCTGTTTGACTGCAGTGCTGGATCACCAGTTTTAAGAGGTAAAGACTTTCTTCTTAATTATCACATTAGGCCTCAGCAATATCTAATGTTTTGTCTTTGTTTGTTTTTTTAAAGGTTATAGATATCCATCTAATGGTGACCCGCGTAAACAAGATGAAGTGTTTAATCCTGAAACCTTTGATCGGAGTGCCTGGCAGGCTTTAAATAACCAACCGATTGACCCCGTTTACACGAGTGACAAGTCTTCAGTTACACAACTGCCAGATTCGGTCGCATCTCCAGAAAACCTGCCCGACACAAAAGGTTCTGGTTTGATAGATGGACTTCTCAATGGTCATTTGAGAGACTGGAGCCTAGCGAACCCTGAGAAACTACTTGTGTTTCCTTTAAACCGCAAGTACCATCAGAATAATCCAGCAACGCCTCAGCCAGGCCCTATCCAGACTCAAGATCAATATAAGGATGCTAAGCAGCCTTCAAATACTGCAGGACGTTCTAGCCAAGCTGATTACATGAGCACGGGATCTTCAACGTCTCCTCCAAAGAAGGTCTCATCCCCCAGTAACCCAGCTAATGTGGGAGCCTGGCCTGTCTATCCATCTGGGATGGGAAGACCATTTAATTGGTTCTCTGGAGTAGATCCTGACCTTAGTAAGGAGAGCTACCAGGCACAAAAACCAGTTGTCGACCCCCAAAAAGCTGTGGTTACCCAGAGAGTGAGTGAACCGATCCGTCCACACCACCCTCCTCCGAGCTATATTGTCCAGTCCAGAAACGGCTACCAGCGAACCAGTTATCTCCACAGCAACTCCAGGTACTCGCCAGATGTTCCCCGTCCAATGCCTGCAAGCTCAACGGGTTCAGGGTCAAAACTAAAAGCTGCTCCTGACGGTGTGAAGAACTTTTAAAGGTGTCCACAACTAAACCACAACTAAACCTAACTTTTTAAATGCTTATTTGAAACATGAATTTAATCTTAACATTTCTAATTGTCAAGCAAATATTAACTCCTGCTTTCTTGTTTTGCAGCATGAAGTGCCCTCTTAAGAAAACAAATAATAAAAACTTCGTGAACTTGCTTTATAGACTTCCATGTGTCCTTGATCTGCAATCTCTATACAATATTTGCTCGTTTAACAACTTACTAATGCTGAAAGTGAGGTTTTAGAGTGACTATATTTTAAAAGAATTGGATGTTTGAGTGAGATGGCAAACTGCTTTATGACACAGCGCATATCCAGCTGTGGATGTGTGGCGCTAGACTTCTGTAACTTGGTATAAACGGACACCTGGCGATGTCGTGTTGCTATAGTGTCTACACAATCGCTGACACTTCCAGTAACAAATGCATCAATACACACATGCAAGTGGTTTACCTTGGCATTGAAATCCTTGTTTCCCAAATCCCCTGCAACACAAACGACACAATTAGGGTGGTTGGCAATATGTAATTTCAGAAACTGACAAGTAAATCTTGCTTTCTTTAACAAATTGGCTTAAAGCTCTAGAAATGGCAAAACACTCACTTTCTGTGATTAGTATCTGCAAACTCTTTTACATTTAGGCTTTCAATGGGAAGATAAAGTTGCTGGGAAAAACGCAAGCTTTGCTAAAATTGCTCATATCTATGAAGACTCTGCATTAGACGGGTGTGCACTGGGGATGCTTACCATATGAAGTCTTTACAGTGGCTGCAGAACGTCGGCTGCTTGAAAAATCTCGCAGTAAATTTGTGGTTCTTCACTTCGTGCACATTCTTCTGCCGCAAAGCACCTTTGCGGGCGAATCTGTTCCCAACCCCAGCCGAGTCGTTATAATGTAAAAGATGGTCAGCCATAATGGGGGACTAACCACAAAAAACTACAGCCACAACTTGGTGTTCCTGTGGGGTCCTCGTCTCTTTGTCACGGCTCTGTCTCTGATGGAGGAGCTCCTGACGGACCGCACGCCTCCCCTCTGCGTGGACCACAGCTGAGCGCTTCTTTTTCATTCAAAAAGTGACGTCGGTAAAGTCCGCCTTCACGTGCTGTGGGAATATCTCGCTCCAATTTCAGCGCGCAATTAACCTCGCGGTAGAGTTTATATTAGTTTTGGGTTACCTAAACACATGACGCTTACGTTCTCTAATGTTCTATGTGCACCAGATCCGGGTATTTTGATAAATATATGGTCTGTGGAATATATATGTATATATATTATATTTTGATGAGGAATGAACCAAGACTGCATGTCCCTCCATCCGTTACTGACCATCGCACACACTCAAGGTGTTGTGCACCATCGTGTGGACTTAAAGTTACATTGCACTTTTTGACTAAACTGAGAATCATGTCACACTATCTCAGATAATCCACCTTATTTGTCTACATTAAATGCTCCTGAGAATTTAGTATATTTCTTAGTTTAAAGCTTATATAAAGTCTATTATTGAAGCAGTTATTTAAAAAGCTCAATAAAAACAGAGTGTAGACTGTATTCTAATTAGATATATTAGATATATTGCTATATATATATATATATATATTATATATATATATATATATATATTATATTATAATATATATATATTATATTATAATATATATATATATATATTATATATGTATATATATACATATATTATATATATTTAAAAAAAACACATCAAACAGTTGTAAAAAGGATGCACAGTTCCTATGGCAACAGGGAGACGCCGCTGCGTCGCCACGAAAACCGGATGTGTCGTAAAGTGAGGACGCTGAGGCTTTGAACCGTTTTGAGCGGCCAAATCTGTGCTCAAAGTAAGTCGCCTTTAAGATGTTATTCTACTTTTACGTTAACGGTAAATTCCTCTAAGCGTGTCGTCTGTTTGTTTGTGGAAGTCTGTGAAATAATAATACCACCCCGCGAGCGCTTTACAGGTCTGCTTTAGCTCTTTTGCTAATGTCTGAGGTAATGTTATCCATCGCTAGTTAGCTAGTTTGTGAACAGTGTAGTTATCAGATTCTTACCATGTCATGTTGTGCTAACATCACGTGACACGATGTTACCCTGCCTGTTTGTTATAACTAGCTAGATCTCCACTCTTTTGGAACTTTGTGTAGCTAGCTAACAGAGGCAGCGCTAACCAATAGAGTGACTTCTTATGTACCGTTGGATTCATGTATTTATCTCCTCAGGACACCATGAGCAGACACGAGGACTCGTGGGATAGGCTGGACACTGAGTTTGACCATTTCCTGCTGGACATGAAGCCATATGTCCTGAAACACCCCAACAAGACAGGTGAGAGAATCATCTCTGTTTACTTCACTCAACATGGTCTAACATCACACTTGTAGTTGCTGGCTCTGGAAAGTCGCTCACAAGAAAATACATTAATGTTTTTTAATTTCCTGTGGACTTATTGCCTCTGTCCCTCTCTCTTCCATTGACTCCAGAGCGCCAGCGGTGTGCAGTATGGATAAAGAAGCTGTGTGACCCGGCTGCGTGTGGTTCAGGTGTGATGGGTCGTAAGAACCGCAACATGCACGCCCGTTTGCTCCTTTACATGCTCAAAAGAGGGGTCCTAGAGAGGCCTTTCACCGGCAAACCAGAGCCAGGCAGCCTCAAGACACTCCCTACCTACATGGTAAGAATCACTGCTTCATTCAATCACAAACACTGATATTGCCATCTAGTAGTGACAATGCACCGCCTTCATTTGTAGAACAATGAACCGAATCTGTATCTCCTGTCCGTGAATTTTCATTTTTCAGTCAATCTACTTCGATGAACCGCTGAGTGGTCGATCTATGGAGCACAGCCATGCGGGTCTGCCTGACTGGGTGACAGGAGAGCTGGGTGGCTACACTGATGACGGTCTGCTTAAGGACATAGCCCGTTCCACACCTGTCACAGCTCACCACAGCAGGTACTATTCCACTGTACACTACCTCACTTAAATATATACACGGCCTGGTGCGTGTTATGTATGAACAGCAAGCTGACTAAGAGCCTCAGTTCATGGTACAAGGAATGAACTACACTGCAGACTGGAGTCCCCTTCTAACAGCAAGAAGCATGACTCATATAAATTTATTATCTGTCAGTTATATCGTAAAATCATTTTTTATATATATATATATATCTCGAGGATGCTAAATAACTAAATAACTCATAAGATATTTATCCAAGCACGCTGTGTTGATGTTATGCTATCAGACTAAAATTGAACTTGGCTGTGAAGCTGGATGCACGCATCTTTTCGTGACTGATCGTCCATCGTAGTTGCTCAGCAGCACTATCTGAAAAAAAGCCAAAGACATTGCCAACTTCTTTCGTCAGTCTGCTGTCCACTCTTGACTTTTCAAAAGAGATGCACTTCAAAACAGCACGAGAGGACGGGGAACCTCTTGTATTCTCGACCCATCTTTCTGTTATTCTCCTTTTTTTTTTTTTACACTCTACCCAGTTGTTGAACCTGAGGTCTAACCCCCGCAGAGCAGAGGGGAGAAAGGGGCTCGGTAGCTCATTAGCTCGTTTCCTAAACTGTCGGATTTCCATTTCTAAAACAGAAATGTATGTATTTCGGATTTAGAAACGTGCTGCTTGATTAGAACTAGTTGTCTGAACACCTCCACAAAAAGTCATCTGAATGCATTTAATCATGTTAACACACACCAGTGTGAACTCTTTCAACACGACTCCCTAAATCATCCCAGTTTCCGCTCAGGGATGTTTCCTCTGACTGCAGGCGGTTCAGGCGCTTGACAAAGTGATGTTAGTAATGGCTCAGGGTTTTTTTTTTCATTCCAATTAACAAGGAAAAGGCAAATCAGAGCCCAGTGGCTTGATATGCTCATTAGCATAATAAAAAGAGAGCAGTGTAAGTGTAGTAAAGAGCTTAATATCCACCAGGGCACAGGCCCTCTACTGCCATATATAATTCATATTTTACTGTGAATATGTATCGTTATTAGGACTTGTCTTTAAATACTTGTCACACCTATTATCTAGCCCGTGTCCCACCAGCACAACATATTTCAATGTGTTTTGAGTTTGCACTGTGAACGTGATCAGATTCAGCACATTTAAAATGCCAGCATGCACACAATTATGCTGCAGTGCTTTTGTTTAGTTTATTAATGATGTTTTCATAAATGTGTTTGGATCAGTTAATTACAATCCGCATAGGCTGCCTCACAGACTTTCTTTTATGTGACTCGATCTCTAGCAGTGAGGTATTTTCGGATAATTATTGACCCGTCTGTATGACCAAAAGGCTCCATTTATTTGCACAACAGACGCTATAGCTTCCGTTGCGAGTGATAGTGACACAGCCCTTTGTCCCCTCTGCTGTGCAGGCTGTGGAGAGAGAGGCTTTGTGGGCAGCAGACGGCTGAGAACCGTATTTTCTGATTGCGATGAGACCATGAAAGACACTCAGATCACAGGCTAACGTCCTGATGGAGAAAATTAGCCGGACCAAGAGTCCTTTTATGTGTCACTCTCATTTAGATAAGATTTAATGGAAGGAACTCGTCCGACTCCCCTATGATGTGGCAACGTTTGATCTCCGTCTCACTCGCCATTAGTCAGGTGATGGGCAGGGCTTCTTTTAGCTCGTGAAACGCTCCAATTCAAGTTCCGAGATCTAAAGACAAAGTCGGGACGATCTTGTAATGTTATGAGAGGTTTCACACAGGAGTCGCTGTGCTGTAATGTGTGTGTGTGTGTGTGTGTGTGTGTGTGTGTGTGTGTGTGTGTGTGT